AGATCCAATTATAGTAGATCAACACTTGGTGTTCTGTAAAAATTGGTATTATGCGAAGTTTAAAAGTTTGAATGCATGCATACCTCTTTGTTTCCCAGTGCCAAAAATACTGTTAGAAGTGCGTTTGAGGTATTTTAATGTTGATCGAGCTATTTGTAGACTTCAACTTATTTTTTATCATGTCTTTTGGTTGTGACTTCATAAATGCAGGAAATCACATGTTGCCATCAGTGAATTCAGAGAGCAGAATAGCAGTCCCAAAAGAACTCATAGGCAACAACAAGAAACAAAATCTGTTCAAGTGTTGCTGCTCTTAATCCAGCATGGAGCCAATGGACTCAATCTCTTAGAAGCACAGCATGTTGTTCTTGTGGAGCCACTGCTCAATCCAGCAGCTGAGGCTCAAGCAGTCAGCCGGGTGCACCGAATTGGGCAGGAAAAGAGGACATTAGTCCATCGATTTATAGTATGCTCCGTTTCCCTTTTTTTTTTTGTTAAACTAATTTTGGATGCTATACACTTGTGTTTTTCTCTCTTTTGAACATTGTATATAGTAGACATGCATTTGAGATACATAACCTCACCACACTGAAGATAGCATGGGGTATTTTGGAACTATTTGTTTGAGTTCCTTTTTAAAATAGTTTACATTTCTATTTAGCTCTCCATTTATCCATGCAATTTCTATATGTAATTAGATTAGACTTCTAATAATCCTTATCATGTCAACCATCCGATTGTTGCTCGAATGGAGCCTTTTATATTTGTTTCAGAATTTAAATGCACACTCCCTTCTCTAGTGATTATATTAGGATTTGATGCTATGAAAAGGAGCATGCAGGAACTCTTTAAGAACTAGCGTGAGGGTTTTCTATTAACAATTCTTCAATCTCATTCCTTCTTGTGAATTTGTGCACGTGTGTAATTCTTCAATCTCATGCTTTCTAGTTTGCTTGTTGTCCGAAACTTTGAAAATTCATGTCATCTGTTAAAATTTCTGCTTTATAGTGTCTCTATGTGTTCTAACAAAATTTCTCCCTTTTCTTCTATGATCTTATTAGGTTAAAGACACCGTGGAAGAGAGCATATATAAACTGAACAGAAGTAGAAGCACCAGTTCATTCATAAGTGGGAACACGAAGAATCAGGATCAGCCTGTGTTAACCCTTAAGGATGTTGAGTCCCTATTCGCAACAGTGCCGTCCATTGTACCAGAAAGTGATGGAAAGCCAACTGAAAACCTAAGACATCTGCCCCCGTCTGTGGCTGCTGCTCTAGCAGCTGAGAGGAGACTGAAGGAAAATATAGCAGGAATTTCCGTGTGATAATCATTCTTTTCTTTGAACACCAAACCTCAGAATGGAATCGCAGTTAAGCAATCTTCTGGCTATGTGTCATCACTTCCAACAGGCAGCTGTTGTTTCATCTCCATAGGGGAGAGCGTCTCCCCGGTCCGTCATAGGTTGCATGGTCGTGTATGATTTTTTTTATTGGTGTATATATGAAGAATGCCTTTTTTTAGCCCTCTGTCAGTTACAGAGAGTAATTTAACGAGGAATTCGTTGTAGATTAGCTCATTTAGCCATTATGTATACTCGCTGCGTAGGTTAAACAGAAATGACAGGACAAAGCTAAGAAAAGCTAGGTCCTCTTCTCCTTAGTCTCCAATGGCAGATATTAGACACTCCACTCAATCTTTGTACCATCTTTCTTTGTCTACTTTTGTTCAATTTGTACAGAGACACATCGCCATAATCTTCATTACAACTAGCTCTGTTTTGCAATCTCCCATTCCAATGTCTCTGCTGTCTAGACACTACCTTAAACCTAAACATAATTTTATTAGAACTAAAAAAAGAAAAAGAAAACACTGACCTAAAGATCTACTATCCCTCTATACTACTTCATGTATACATGTCATAGCCCGCATGAAGGAGTGTTGGGTATATCAGCTTAGAGCCAATACACGCTATATATCTTGAAAAGATTGAAATGATAAAATGATTGAGTTCTTCGCAACTCAATGAACAAATAGAACCAAAAATACAATAAGAGACTAAGTTATAATGTGATTAATTTATTAGGTCCATACATGATAATAATCTAACTAAGCAAACCAATAACACATAAATAAGATACTTGTTTGACTAGTTCCCAGGGTTGCTACGGGTACTAATCCATAGTCTCCTCCATTTCTTCTTCGAAGTTTGGCCCTCCATTATCTCTATTCAGTGGGAAGTTTGGTGAGTCTCTCACATACACTTTTCCATTATCTTTGGAGTAGAAAATATGGAAAGGGATGGCGAACTGGAAATTACAAAGCGATACACCCACAAGTGTGTCTCACGTCAATTACAATATCTTCCAGTGAATATAGTGGATTTGTGATCAAATTGCTAGGAAAAACTTTCGAGATTAAAGTTTCTTTCATAGAATTCTTTGCTATATTCTCTATGACCCCTCATGAGTACTTTCATAGCGATTAAATATCTTTGTTGTATACGCATGTAATTGCAATTGTTTAAGTAACATATACACATATATAATTGTAATTGTCTGAGTATGTATTGTGTGCACGTAATAATTATGTTTTTTTTTAATATCATATTCTTGTTAATATACATACATCCTTAACTAATTCATTGGCTTTAATAAAAATTATTAATATTAATGTATAAATTAGCTAGGGAATGCTTTTTCCCCTTTAAGAATTGTATCCAATGTTTTTTATTAGCATGTAAAAAAGAGTAACTCATCAATTATAGCTGTGAAGTGAAGACAAATAGGTAAATATAAAATAATAAAAAACAAATAGAATTAGAAAACTAAAGAACACATAGAAAACATGTTGGACAAACTGGAGAATGGTTTGTAATGTCCAAAAAAGTGAAATGTTGCAAGTATAGTATAAAAAATAATTATAAAATAAAAGAAACATGAACAAATGAAAAAATATAAATTAATTTGTAAAAAAGCAAGTATAAAATGAAAAAAAAAAATACAACAACAAAGTTGTTGATAAAAAAAGATCAAGTTTGAAAGTAACAGTGCACCTATAACTTGAGTAACTCAAGACAAAGTTGGTGCTTCAGCTTTATGCAACCAGAGATAGTTAAGTAGTAATTGGAATAACATGCCTACAACAAATGATAAAAAATAGAAAGTTACCAAGCAAATATGAACTTGAGAGATGAACAATAACAACAATAAAAACAACTATGCGATTATAAAAATCAAAAGCAAATAATTATGAAAAATATATTCATTCTACTACAAAAATAATAGTTATTGTAGTTGAAAGAAGCAAATGCAACAATAAAGAAAATGAGTGGAATTTGGTGTAATAAACAGAGGTGATACTAAATGAATAATTTTTTTTCTCAACAAAATCTCGCGAAACAAATCATATGCAATCCAATTGAAAATGATAATTCAGCCATCAATTACATGCAACTCAAATTAATTAAAGTCTTTATACATGTTTTGTTGAAAATAAAAATAGCCAACAATCATATGTAATTGAATTAAAAGGTCTTGATACGAGTAATGTATATTCGTGAAGATAAAACAGAACCCAATAAAACAATAATGGTTAAGCATAAAATTGTAAATCATTTTAGGCACAAATCATATGTACTGAAATTTAAAGTGATAATTTAATTGCTAATTATATATAATTTAATTTAAAGGTCAAGAAAACATAAAACAACATGTTAAAAATTCTTAATTTAACATGCAGCATCTTAAATGACCATGTCAAACCAATAAAAAAAATTTAATTCTCTATTTTCAAGCATAAAAGTAATAACCTTGATTGTCTGAGTTATTTCATTAGTTAACCTAGCAATTAACACCCAAATGGAAAAATCTTTATTATCATTTCTTATTCTTAAGCATCTTTCATTTCGAAATATATCTCTTTAAGTAACATCTAACATGAGTTCAATCATTTTGTTTTTTTAAACACACATCACTAAGCATGAGTTCAAAAAACATCTTTTTTAAAAAACATATATCATCAAGCATATATTTCCTAGCAAAGCAAAACAATAACCCAATCTTAAGCTATCATAAAAACAAAGAATAAGCATTAATTAATTCAATTTAAGCTCCTTCTATACTAACAAAAATATTTAAACAAATTTAGTAGAAAATAGCTTGAAACAAAGAACGAAACAACTAAGAACCAGAACATTACTGAATAAAAAAATTTATTAGTAGAAAATAAATAAATAAATAATCCCTATGATTTTAAATCTATTTGTAATTTGATACTTTTTTTCATTTCACGGTCTTTTTTAATTTATTTTATTTCTTTATATCAAATAGTAAAAGGGAAAAAAAAGATAAAATGGAAAATTTAATGAGAAAAAAGAGAATATCTTCTGTAACAAAACAAATCAATCAAGCATAGTCAACATTGATCAAGTGATTAATTAATTAATTATTTTAAAGCCAGGGTGAGTATTTAATTCATTTTACAGAGGGATTGATTTATAATTTACTCTAAGAACAAATTGGGATCAACTAGGCTAAGAAAAAAAATATAAAAGACTCAATCTAAAATATAAAACAATAATTTAATTTTTATATAATAATTGATGAGTCACATAAAAATAAAAATATTTCTCTTTTTATTAGTTGAAAAAATGGCACAACCTATATGTATTAGCAGTATCAAGTTGTGTCCTAGGCAAACTTATTTTTTTATCGTTGTGTTTTGGGTTAATTGAATGATGAGATCCTCATTTTTTTTTTATATTGGAAATGAGCTTTTATTATAGAAATTAATAAATACAAGAGGAGAAAATATTTTGTATAAAAAAATACAATTAAATTTTAAAGAGAATGCATGTAAGTAGTTTATGTTTGAAACTAATAATATATTTATTTATTTAAATTTTATGCACTATCGCTAGCCTAGTTAATTAATTCCAACTTAATTAGAGAAGAGATGTAATAATCAATGGATTTTTTTTTTAAATTCCAATCATGTTTTCCTACCTATAAATACCTCTCCATGAAGAGCCTAATCCACCATAGCAAACCATATCCTATGTCTCTTGAAAAACACACCATGACGACGTCTTTACTAAACAAACCATTCTTCTCCTTCTTTCTCCACATCCTGTTTGTGCTCCTTCATATATTCAACTCTTCTTCCTTCTTTGCTGTAGCTGAACACACTCCCTCCACAACTTCACCATTTGGTTATAATACAGAAGCTGAGCCTCTTCTCGAGTGGAAAGCCAGTGTTGACAACCAAAGCCAATCTCTCCTTTCTTCTCGGGTCGGCATGAGCCCATGCATTAACTGGATTGGAATCACTTGTGACAAGTCTGGAAGCGTCACCGGTTTGAGCCTTGCAGACTTTGGCTTGAGAGGTACGCTTTATGATTTCAACTTCTCGGCCTTCCCTAATCTTTTTGTTCTTGACCTTCAGAACAATTCTCTTTTTGGAACCATTCCACATGAAATTGAAAAATTAAAAAAAATTATCTTTTCTTGATCTTTCTACGAACCAACTCTCTGGTCTCATCCCTTCTTCTATTGGAAACTTGACATGCTTATCTAAGCTCTATCCTGAGGATAACAAATTCTCCGGTCCTATTCCTAAGGAAATTGGATTGTTACAGTCTCTTAATCAACTTGCCCTATCAAGTAATGTTTTGACCGGTGAAATACCTTATTCTATTAGAAAATTAAAAAATTTATCTAACCTTGACCTTTTTGAGAACCAACTCTCTGGTCCCATCCCTTCTTCTATTGGAAACATGACCATGCTCATTGCTTTAGCACTAAGTCAAAATACTCTTAGTGGTTTGATGCCCTCTATTGGAAATTTAACAAACCTATTCTGTAGACCCCCGATTATAATTTTTCTAGGTATTTAAAAGATGATAAATTTAACAAATAGTAAAATGGGTTAAATTAAATTAAAGAAACCTCAATTAAGATAAAAAATAGTGAAATTAATGAAATGAAAGATGAATATAATACTAAATTATTCAAAAGAAAAACATTTGTGAGGACAAAATGAATACGTTAGATCAAGAAAGGTCAATATTTAAATAACAAAAGGTTGGGAGTTTATGTACAAATGATGAAAAGGGATGGGGATAAATGTGCAATTCACAAGATGTCAGGACTATAAATATCATTCTATTTTCTCTCTTGGAGGGACCGACAATAGTAAGAGAGAGTTTAGAGAGAGGCTGAAGAGAAGACATATTAATGGCAGAACATTTGACAGCTATAACTCCACCTTTTATCGTTGGATCAAAACAATATTTGGATATGTTGTTCTCATCCATGTCGTGTACATTGTCACCGGACGGATTTTTTACATCAGTCACCGTTTAAGAGATATCGAGGGAGGAACATATCTGGGAAAATACCATTCGATTAGGCTATAATTTAGATATGTTGTTCTTCCTAATTTTGTTTAGATTTTGAACGGTGGAGATCTGAAACAAACATTCGATATAGAAGTTGTGTATCTCACATAGTAGGTTTGCAAGTTTGAGGTCAATTTGGTTAAACCTATATTTCTGGAAATTTCACCATTTGAGGAAGTTAATATTTGGATATGTTATACATATGATAATGCATTATAACTTGACAGTATGGATTGTTTGGAATATTATTTGTTTGTTATTTATGGTTGATTAAAACTGTTGTCAAGGATTGTATTTAGATAAGAATGTTTTATTTTGATGTTAAAAGGGAAGATTGAAATAAATACGATAAATTGGTTCTTATAAAGATATTTTTTTGAGACTCTTAAACAATATATGATATGGTCTGGGGTTGAGATAAAGGAGAAAACGTTAAATTGTGGATGTTGTGTGTAAATGAAAAAGGTTGATGAATCTGGATAGATTCATCTCCTGACTTTTTGAGAGAATACGAGTAGGAGGATGAGAGAATTAGGATCAAGTTTCTTCATAGTAATTATAGTTTTGGATGTTAGCTAACTAGGAAAAATGGTCTTGCTCAATATGGAGCTGTAGAACCCCAACCATGGGTCATCAATCGAGATTTAGGTCCTGACAGACCTTGTAGGGTAGTGTTTGTTGATGAACAATTTTGATCATCTCAGAGGCAGAATTGGGTTCTCCTTTCTATAGAGAACTTGTAGCCTCGTGTGTTAGCTTTCTAATGAGACTAATCTCACTTGAAATGGAGTTCTACAACTCTAGATATAGTTAAAAATCTAATGAGTGTTTGGACAATAACAATTCAATGTGTGGACAGTTTAAAATGTCTAGACAATAACAGTTTAAAGTTATATAATAACAGTTGGACAATAACAGTTCAATATGTAGATAGTAAGAGTTTAATATGTGGACAATAACATTTCAATATACGAACAATACCAGTTTAATATGTGAACAATAACAATTCAAATGTCTAAACAATAAAAGTTCAAAGTTAGACAGTAACAATTCAATGTGTTGACAACAACAGTTCAAATATTTAGATAGTAACAGTTTAAAGTTAGACAGTAATAGTTGGACAATAATAATTCAATGTATGGACGGTAATAGTTCAATGTGTAGACAATAACAATTCAAATGTCTAGACAATAATAGTTTAAAGTTAGACAGTAATAGTTGGACAGTAACAGTTCAATGTGTGGACAGTAACAATTCAATGTGTAGACAATAACAGTAGACTTTCACATGAATACTATATAAAAGAATTGAGTCATATGAACACTTGCACATTGAGATACTAAATCTAAAAATATAAACGATATATGTATGCATGTTATTATGAGGAAATGAACATGCTTGGAAAGTAACATATGAGTAATAGATAAATATGGATTCTTTATAATATCAGCTTAAAAGAATGATAACTATGGTTGGATAAAGGACGACAACATTAATGAGTGTAATGAGAAAAATCTAGAGAAAGAAATGAATGATTAGCTTAATTAGCTTCAGCTAATGACATCCGAAGGGATGGCGGAGACAAATGAATGATTAGCTTTGGCTATGCATCCGAAGGGATGATAAGGAAAAACAATTGATTAGCTTTGACTAATGGCATCTGAATGGATAGACAGGAAAAATGCATGATTAGCTTTGGCTATGGATCTAAAGGGATGGCCGGGATAAATGCATGATTAACTTTGGCTATGCATTTAAAGGGATGACCCGAAAAAACAATTGATTAGCTTTGGCTAATGGCATCCGAATGGATGGTTGTGACAAAAGAATGATTAGCTTTGGCTATGCATTCGAAGGGATGACTAGGACAAATGAATGATTAGTTTTGGCTAATGGCATCCGAATGGACGACCAAGACAAACGATTGATTAGCTTTAGTTGATGGCATTCAAAGGGGATGGCTAGGGTGAGTGAATAGTTAACCTCGACAAATGATATCTTAAAAGAATGGTTGGATTTAAGATTATGGTTGATTGTAAGAATTGGTGCATATATATGTACTGCAAGTTGTGTATACCAAGAACATGAAAGAATTGCAAATGTCACGCTTCAAAGATGAGATAATATTAATGCTTCATTAAACTGCCAAATCATTTTCTTATTATTCTTATTATTATTAAGAAGTAATAGCATTCTTGTAAATGTTTGTACTGTAGTAGAGACGTCATACCAACAAGGTGCCTAGGAAATCCAATACGCGGGAACCTACTTTTGCAAGGAATCATGTAGTTGCATTCTAAATCATGATGTATTTTATACGAATCAATGTACTGAATGTATAACTATTATGAGATCCTTTAGATTAAATTTGTGATGACTATTTGAAGGATAGAATACAAACTCATGCCTATGCATGTATATTTTAAATGTGAACTTCTAATCATGCAAACATAATATTATGAATTTATGTAAGATTCACTTTTAAATGAAATGTTGATTGTTATTGATGTATGGATTGAGGGAACATGTTCATTGATTATCAATGTCATAACCTAATTCTAGGTTATTCTTTAAAAATTAATTTTTTTCAAAAATAAAAAATAAAAAATAAAAAATAAAAAATAAAATAAAAGTTGATAATGTGGAGAAAGCAGATAAAGGAGGGCTATAAAAATAGGAAAAAATCAAGTTGTAATGTTTTGAGGAAATTCAAGGCCTAATTGTACCTCATTATGCCAAAAAATAGTGAAAAATATAAATTCAAGGTCAAATTGAATGATTATTGAATACATTTGCATAAAAATTGAGTCCAATGACATAATTAAATTTTTAATAAGCCAATTTAATTTAATAATGGGCCAAATTAATTTTATTTTGGGCTTAATTGGTGAAAAATTAAGTTTGAGAGCCTAATTTTGGCTTAATTGAGAATATTGAAATTTTAAAAGATCAAATTTAATTTTTACCAAGTTAATTGATTGAAATTAGAGGTTTAATTGTATTAAATAAAAAAAGTTTAGGGTTAATTAGGGTTAAATTGAAAGCAATTGAAAAAAAAGGACTAAAATGAACTTTGAAAAAAACAGGTATTAACACTTTTCATTATTTTTTTTCTTTGAAAAAGTTGATCTGGTTAACTACTTTATAGCTATATTATATTTAATGTATCTAATATCCATAAAATTTAACAAATCCCTTATTACATTGAAAAATTAAAAAAATTATCCCTTCATGGAAACCAACTCTCTAGTCCCATCCCTTCTTTTATTAGAAACTTGATAAGCTTATTTTTTGAGGTAATAAACTCTCTGATCTCATTCCTTAAAAAAATAGGTTGTTAGAATTTTTTAATCAACTTGACTTATCAAGCAATACTTTAACCAGTGGAATCCCTTATTTCATTGAAAAATTAAAAAGTTTATCATTTCTTAATTATTACAAGAACCAATTACCATCCCTTTTTCTATCGGTAATGTCATAACCCAATTTTGGGTTATTTCCTAATTTTGATCCATATTTTCATAAAGTTTTAGAAAAAAAATCTAAAAAATATATTTTTAAATATATTTGCATCATTTTTAGGATTTTCAACATCATCTCAAAAGAATTAAAATTTTTAAAGATATTTCGAGCGCGCTCAACTTTTAACGTGTTATTTTTAAAATCATTGATTTTCCTCATTGAGTCGATGTTGATATTGCTTGTTTTCAAAAAAATACAAAAAAATAAAAAAAAATAAAATTTACAAAAAAATAAAATTGAGAGACCAATTTTGAAATCCAAGTAACATTTGGCCTATAAATAGCAACCTTTAACACAGAAAAAGAGGGGGGGTGATTTTGACAAAAAAAAAAAGAGAAACCCTAAACCACAAAAAACCCTAGCATTTTTCTTCTCCCTCACTAGAGGAGTCGCCACCTCCTTCACCCTTTAGAGCTGTCAGCGTCGCCGGATGATTTCTCTCTCATCTATCGTTGGATCAATGCAAAATTTGGGTATGTTGTGCGTCCCTATATGTTCTGCATTCTGACTGGAGCAATCATTCATATTTGAAATCACGAGAGAAATATTACCATTTGAATATTTCTGGCAAACCACTCTCGAAATAGTTAGAGAAGCCGACCTATTTCTCCATTATTCACCGTTGGATCAACCTGAGTTTTGGATATGTCATGCGTATGGTTGTATTGCACATTCTGAACTGTGAAGATGAGATGAAACCCATCCAAACAGGTGTTATGCGTGTTCAACAGTAGCTCTCCAATCTTAGGTCAGTTTCGGTCTAACTTCGATCCAGGAAGATCCAACCGTTAACTGGGGCTGATATTTGGATATATGCTACATGAGATGTCGGTTTACCATTGTACCATTGGGATTTTTTTTATTATTTCAATGTTTGATGAGTAATGGTCGCCGGAAGCTTTGCCCAGAATCTGTCATGGCTTCCGATTTGAAAACCCAAATCACAACACCCACCGCCGGCGCAAGAAGACATAGAAGAGGAAGACGACCCCGATCTACTGGTTCTGCCACCTTTGGCAGAGGCGGCGCATGGAGCAAACGCGCCGCCACTATTCACACTTCGACACTGTTCACGGGCACTGCTCACACTGCCCTATAAGGGACTTCAATGCAATTTTTGGAGTTTTAGGGATTGTTTTATAAATTTTAAATTATTTAATGTAATTTTTATTTAGTTTTGGATTTTTATAATTTGTATTGTGGATGTAAAAAAAAAGAAAAGAAAAAAGAAAAAAAGAAAAAAGAAAAAAGAAAAAGAAAAAAATGCATGTGTGTGCTTGTATTTGTCTTATGAATGTTTTCTTTTTGTTTATGATAAAATTGAAGAGAATAAAGAAGAATTTAATATTTTGATTGGATCATGGTGTAGAAGTACAAACTTGTATGGAAGTTGTATTTCTAAAATCCGATGAAAAGACAAAATTTTTAAAACTTCTTTAACACATCAAGTTCATGAAGCAGCTTACCTCAGGTAGGGTGCGTTAGGGGTGCTAATACCTTCCTTAACCACAACCGGTCCCTTACTCGCGAATTTCTGACAAGACCAGTACAATCAGGTTTCCTAGTAACTTCAATTAAATACTAGGTGGCGACTCCTAACGAATCCAACAAGATCAAGAGACCGTTTGTTTACGCGTTAAAAGTTGCGTTTAAAATAAAACGCAGGAGGCAAGGGTACCACTAATTACTGTTCATGGGTCCCATTAATTTCTGTGTTTGGAACGCAGAATTGAAAGAAGCAGCTAAAGGCTGCTTTTCTTGCCCTGTTCATCTAATTGCACTGTTCAGTGAACAGTGCAATTAATATTAACTGTTCATGTGAACAGTGCATAAAAATTGCACTGTTCACGTGCATTGCGTTTTTTTTTAAGGTAAGTTTTTTAATATTTTTTAAAAATTAGTTTAGAATGAAATTTATATCTGATAATATTTTATCTAATTTTATTATATACTATAAAAATTATAGAAACTGTAGTTCTTATCGAATTTATTTTATACGTAATGGAATTATAGATAGTTTTATGAAATAATAAAAAATATTTTATATTAAGTATGGTTTATTTCATGATGTAATAGTAATAGTTAAATTCATAATATTTAAATTAAAAATCATTAATATTAATATATATTTTTAAAAATTATTTTATAACCTTAATTTCAAAAGCATTCTTAACCAAACACACTAAACTACTTTTTGTTCAACCTCAATTTCAACCACAGTTTTAACCAAACACCTATTTTTTCAAACTAACCTCAACTAAAAGCATTTTTTATAAAATGACTTTTTTCAAACCACAACCACAACAGTTACCACAATACCAAACAAGCTCCAAATCAAATAATAACGATGAAAAATTGCCAGAGCCGACGCCGCGCGGATTTTTTTGACGTGCAACAGGTAACATGACAATGCTCGCTATACTTTATCTAAGTCACAATAATTTATCTGCATGTGTTCTTTCAGAAATAGGACAACTTGCTTGTGGACCTGAGATTATATGTGAACAAATTTCACGGCCCATTGCCCTCACAGATGAACAATCTCACCCATTTGAAGTATTTGTCTTTTTGTAACAATGAATTCACGGGTCATTTGACTCGAGATCTTCATATTAGTTGCAATTTCTTGACTCGAGAGATACCGAGGCCAACTTGGGCAACTGCAGAAGTTGGAAACTCTGAATATCTCTCACAACATGCTTTCTGGACGGATTCCGAGCATTTTCAAAGACATTAAGGGATAATAAGGGTATATATGTGGCAACGCCAGTGGTTTGAAGTTGTGAAATCTTCCAAAAAGCAGCAAAAATATCAAGAGAAGAGCAACAAACTTTTGGTTTTGATTGTACTCCCTCTTTTAGGTGTGAAACTACCTTAACATTGTTGACGAAGTCAACAATATTTTGTGAATAATGTTAGGCACCAATTTGTGAACAATGTTAGGCACCAATTTGGTGCCACCTACCTTACCCTTTGTCTTTTGCATGGATGCTTGACTATAAATAGGCAATGCATCCAAGCATTATAGACATTACAAGAGAGAAACTTGAGAGCAAGTAGAGAGAAAGAAGAGAGGGTGAGAAGAGAGTAATCCTACAAAATTGTAAGGTATTTGTGAGATAGTAAGTAAGGTGTTTTCTTCTAATAATTGAGAGATTTTTGTTATTCTCCTATTATTAGAGAGAAGTTGTATTCTCACATTACTTAGTAAAACCCTTCTATACTTGCCTGTGGACGTAGCTCAATTGGGTGAACCACGCAAATTCTTGTGTGTTCCATTTCTCATTTTATCTTATCCCTTAACTTTTGTCTTGTTGGGTTTGCATGGAAGCATCCTAACATTGGTATCAGAGCCTTCTGGTTGGTGTTGTTAATACATAAAAGTTATTCATGTATACGGTTACTATTCACGTATACGGCACTATTCACATATACGACACTATTCATCTATACGGTACTGCTCACATACGTTACTGTTGCCATATATAGAAAGTCACTACAGTGATTAAATACACTTTAAGAAGTTCTATCTAAGGAGATTGAGAACTTACTTTGTGAAGTATTATTCACACGATACTATTTTTGTATACATTACAAATTTGTGAAACGATGATAACTGAATAGATCTTGGTGAATACAATGGTAGCAAAGTACGAGATTGAGAGGTTTAATAGGAGCAATTTCTCACTGTGGAAAATGAGAATCAAGGCAATCTTAAGGAAAGACAATTGCTTGGCAGCAATTGGGGATTGACCCACGGAGATCACTGATGATGCAAAATGGAATGAGATGGATGGCAATGCTATTACTAACATACATTTAGCATTAGCCGATGAAGTATTATCAAGTGTGGCGGAGAAGAAAACAGCTAAGGAGATATGAGAGACTCTAACAAAGCTATACGAGTCCAAGTCTTTGCACAATAAGATTTT